GACTCACCACAGCAGAATGGGATTGCTGAGCGCCGCATTGGCATGGTCATGGACGTCGCTCGTACGTCCATGATGCATGCGGCTGCTCCCCATTTTCTGTGGCCGTTTGCGGTCAGGTACGCTGCGCACCAGATCAACCTCCACCCCAGGGTCTCTCGACCGGAGACCTCCCCAGCCCTGCTGTGGACGGGGAAGGTTGGCGATGCGTCGGCGTTCCGGGTCTGGGGATCTCGGGCGTTTGTTCGCGACCTGTCTGCGGACAAGCTGTCCCCTCGTACTTCTCCCTGCGTCTTCCTGGGGTTCCCCCCCGACGCCCCTGGGTGGCAGTTTTACCACCCCACCTCTCGACGTGTTCTGTCCTCCCAGGACGTCACGTTCGACGAGTCGGTACCCTACTACCGCCTCTTCCCCTACCGCACTCCGTCCCTCCCCCCACCCCCGCTCTTCTTGGTACCAGGTCCCCCCCCGGTAGTCCCCCTCCCCCCTCAGGGTCCTGCCCCTTCAGGTGTGTCCCAGGTAGACGCGGTCGAGCCTGTCGAGGTCACTGGTGACTCTGGTGCTGCTGCGGGAGCTGAGCCTGGGGGTGCGGAGTCTGGGGGTGCTGAGCCTGGAGGTGCCGAGTCTGGGGGTGCTGAGCCTGGGGGTGCTGAGCCTGGGGGTGCTGTGCCTGGGGGTGCTGAGCCTGGAGGTGCCGAGTCTGGGAGTGCTGTGCCTGGGGGTGCTGAGCCTGGGGGTGCTGCGCCTGGGGGTGCTTTGCCTGAGGTTGCTGAGCCTGGGGGTGCTGTGCCTGGGGGTGCTGTGTCTAGGGGTTCTGAGCCTGGAGGTGCTGTGCCTGGGGGTGCTTCGTCTCGCCGGGAGCCACTCTACCCACAGGAGCTGCGTGAGTGGTTTGCCAGGCGCTGGAGGCGTGCTGCTGGTGCGGGTGGTTCTTCGGCTGCAGAGGGTACTGCTGCCGCGCGTCCCGCCGGTGCTCGTACTGTGGGTGCTGGAGCTGCTGGGTCTGAGGGTTCTCCCGGAGCTGGTCCTGCTGAGGGTGTTGGCGCTGAGCCTGCCGTTGGCGGTCCGACTGACAGTGCTCCTGGTGCTGCGGCTGGGGGTTCTGGAGCTTCTGGTGGTGCTGCTGGAGGTGCTGCAGGAGTGGGTGCTCCTGCCGGGGCTGCTGGTGCTGTTCCTGCTGTTTCTAGCGTCGCCGAGCGGCCCCGACCGTACTTCGTTCCGCTCCTGCAGCAGGTTCTTGGTCTTACACCTCCTCCTCCTCCCTTCGAGGGTCCGCAGCCTGTCCGGTCACAGCCACAGCTACAGCCTGCCTCCCCTTTGCCTGCTCCTTCTCCCTACGCTGGTCCGACTGGAGGTCTTACTGAGCGTCGTGAGCCTGCGTCTCGTCCTGTGTCGCCTGTTCGTACTGAGCGCGCTAGTGGTCGCGGGTCGCGTCAGCGTCCTCCTCCTGTCCCTGGCACGCACCGGATGTCACTGCGTCCGTCCACTGCTCCTCTGCGTGCCCCTTTGCCTTCTCCTCCTGCTTCCTCTCTTCCTGCTCTTGCCGACCCGGAGTCGGACTCTCTTCGTGCTGCCAGTCCTACTGTCACGCGTCTCCTGGCTACTGCTGTCACTGACCCCTCCTTCGAGTCGTCTGCTGCGTCTGCCCTTGTCACTGAGCTTGTCGACTTTGCTGCGCGCTGTCGTCTAGACTACGCTGCTCGTCTTGTCACTGAGTCTGAGTCCGCCTGTCCTCCGTCCGTCGGGGGTGAGTGTGCCCTTGGCACGGACGTCCTTGAGGACAGGCAGGAGGAGTTCCAGTGTCAGGCCGCCGCTTCACCTCGTCTCGCGTCTGTACTGCTAGCCCCTGAGGGAGACCCGGATGCACCAGACATCCCGACTCCGCGCTCTTACGCGGAGGCGATAGAGGGTCCCTACTCCTCTCAGTGGCAGGCAGCTATGGATGCAGAGATGGCTTCCTGGAAGTCCACAGGCACCTACGTTGACGCTGTTCCCCCTCCTGGGGCGAACATCGTCAGTGGCATGTGGATTTTCAGGGTGAAGCGGCCGCCGGGTTCTCCGCCTGTCTTCAAGGCGCGTTACGTGGCTCGTGGCTTCAGTCAGCGGCAGGGGGTTGACTACTTTCAGACCTTCTCCCCCACCCCGAAGATGACCACTCTTCGGGTTCTGCTGCACGTTGCTGCTCACCGTGACTACGAGCTGCACTCTCTCGACTTCAGCACAGCTTTCTTGCAGGGCAGCCTGCACGAGGAGATCTGGCTGCGTCGCCCACCTGGCTTCACTGGGTCTTTCCCTCCTGGTACCCAGTGGAGTCTCCGGCGTCCAGTCTATGGTCTCCGCCAGGCGCCACGTGAGTGGCACGACACACTGAGGACTACGCTCGCGGCACTTGGGTTTGCTCCTTCCACTGCCGACCCGTCGCTGTTTCTGCGCACCGACACCTCTCTGCCGCCGTTCTACATCCTCGTGTACGTCGACGACTTGGTCTTTGCCACAGCTGACACTGCTGGACTCGCCTACGTGAAGTCCGAGCTGCAGAAGAGACACACGTGCACTGACCTGGGTGAACTGCGCAGCTACCTTGGCTTGCAGATCACCCGGGACAGAGCACGCCGCACCATTACCCTGACTCAGTCACACATGGTGCAGCAGGTCCTTCAGCGCTTCGGCTTCACGTACTCCTCGCCTCAGGCCACTCCTCTGCCTACTCGCCACTCGCTCTCAGCTCTGCCTTCGGATGAGTCCGTAGAGTCGAGTGGCCCGTTTGCAGAGCTTGTTGGCTGCCTCATGTACCTGATGACCTGCACACGACCTGACCTCGCATACCCTCTTAGCATTCTCGCACGCTTTGTTGCTCCTGGGAGACACCGACCAGAGCACATGGCTGCAGCGAAGAGGGTGTTGCGCTACTTGTGCAGTACGTCGGGCATGGGGCTAGTGCTTGGAGGGCGCAGTCCAGTGGTCCTCACTGGGCACGCAGACGCTTCTTGGGCTGACGACCAGGCTACGCAGCAGTCGTCACAGGGTTACACCTTCAGCCTTGGTTCCGGCTCTGTCTCGTGGCGGGCTACCCGCTCGTCTTCTGTTCTCGGCTCCAGTTGTGAGGCTCAGATCTACGCTGGGGCTATGGCTGCACAGGAGTTACGCTGGCTCACCTACCTGCTGACCGACCTTGGAGAGCAGCCTCGTTCTCCTCCAGTCCTGTACGTAGACAACAAGGCCATGCTGGCCTTGTGTCGAGAGCAGCGACTGGAGCACAGAACGAAGCACATTGCTCTTCGCTACTTTCTTGCTCGTGAGCTACAGCAGCGTGGACAGCTGCGACTTGCGTACGTGGCCTCTGAGGCCAACACTGCTGATGTCTTCACCAAGGCACTTGCGCCTTGTGATCATCAGCGTTGCTGCACGCAGCTGGGTCTTGTGCCTGTCTTGCCTCACTTGCTCACTTCTTGACCTTGCTTGTACCTTCACCTATATATACTCTTGTTCTTGCTTGCTTGACTCTTGTATATCTCTATATATGATCTTGCATGTGAACTGGCCTTGTGGCCCTTGAACTTGTGCTCGGAATGTGTGGTGACTTTGTGATCCACCCTGAGCTTTGCTTTGCTTTGCTTGACTGGTCTTGTGACCCCTTGTTCTCCCCCACTTTGCCTATGGGGGTGTGTCAGAACATTATAGCTTACTTATTTGTGTAGGCTATAGTGGGGTATCCCATAGGGGGTACAACCCAATTAGGGTTTCCTATTTGTACTCACTTCGTTCATAGTCATTTCATCCTCGTTCAATTCTTCTCAGCGGCCACACGAGCGGACCCAGCACCCCCAGGCTCCACACCCCCAGGCTCAGCACCCCCACGCTTAGCACCCCCAGACTCAGCACCCCCAGGCTCAGCACCCCCAGTCTTAGCACCCCCAGACTCAGCACCCCCAGACCCGGCACCCGCTGGCTCAGCACCTCTAGCAGCACCTGAGTCAACAGCTACCTCGACTGGCTTGACTGCGTCTACCAGGGACACACTTGAAGGGGCAGGACCCTGAGGAGGGAGGGGGTCTACCAGGGTAGCACCTGGCGCAAGGAAGAGCGGCGGCGGGGGGAGGGGCGCAGTGCGGCAGGGGAAGAGACGGTAGTAAGGCACCGACTCGTCAAAGGTGACGTCCTGGGAGGACAGAACACAGCGCGTGGTGGGGTGGTAAAACCGCCAGCCAGGCGCGTCAGGGGGGAAGCCAAGGAAGATGCAAGGAACAGCACGGGGGGAGAGCTTGTCCGCACACAAGTCGCGGACAAACGCCCGAGATCCCCAGACCCAAATTACAGACGCATCGCCAACCTTCCTTGTCCACCGCAAGGCAAAGGAGGTCTCTAGCAAAGAGACCCGGGGCTGAAGGTTGAGCTGATGCGCGGCATACTGAACCGCAAACGGCCACAGAAAATGGGGGGCACCCGCATGCATCATTGACGTACGAGCGACGTCCATGACCATGCCAATGCGACGCTCAGCAATCCCATTTTGCTGTGTAGAGGCCGGAAGCGTGAAGGTCTGGCGGATGCCCTGTGCCCGACAGAAGGCTCCCAGACGGGCAGAGGAAAACTCCCCGACTCTGTCCGAGTGCAGACGCAGAACAGGAAAGTCCGAGCCGAAACTCTCTCTAAGCTGGAGACGAGCTGCGCGGATCCAGTCGATCAACACCTCAGTGACGTCACCCTTGCTGCGCAAGGGGAAGACTGTGGTGTAACGCGAGTAGTCGTCAACGACCAGCAGAAAGTACCGCTCTCTCCCCTGCCCACTGACGCGGGCTGGGCCCCACACGTCCATGTGTAGAGTTTGCAGCGGAGCCTCTGTCGGAGGAAACTCAGAGGAGTGAGGGGCGGCGCGCTGTCGCCCCTCGACACAGGGGACGCAGGTAGGGCCAGGCCCCGGAGGAACGGGAGGGAGAGACCGAGGAAGACCAGAGACAAGGACACGGGAGGCCATGCCTCGAAGACGAGGCGAGGAGGGGTGACTAAGGCGGTGGAAGGGAGACTGCAACCGGCCGACTGAGCGGCGTAAGAGTGGTGCGGTCTCGAAAGAAGGAGCGGGACGCACCCAAGTCCAGGGTGAAGGTATGGAAGGCCTGAGCCGACGTAGTACCTGAGAGAGCAGACTCACCAGCACCTGGGGCGGCAGACGCACTGGCACCTGGGGCAGCAGACGCACTAGCACCTAGAGCAGCAGCCTCACCAGCACTTAGCGCAGCAGCCTCAATGCCCGGGTTAGGCAGTACACACAGGTAACTGGCACCCTCAACACTATCAGCAACAGCATACATGGCAGCAAGGATAGCATCAAAGTCAAGATCAAAGATAGCAACCCCGGCCTTAGCCAGATCTCCCCAGCGAGGGATCTGTGACGCCTCAGGGAACTGGCGACGCCACGCGTCCGTCAGGCGACCAAAGCAGCGCTAGGTGGAGTGCGGACCTCCGCACTACTCACCTGTGCGGTCGCTGGTACGGAGAACGTAAAAGCAGGGACCAAAACCCCCACCGGGCTGGCGTGCAGTGTACCACTCAGGAAGGTGCTGAGGGGACAGGGTCACACCACTCCGCTGCTGCTGCTGGCGCTGACCACCACCGGCGCCACTCCTCGGCGCAGAGTCACGACTCGCTCCACCACCGCCGCCTCCGCCGCCGCCGCCGCCTCCGCCGCCTCCTCCACCTCCGCCTCCTCCACTACCTCCGCCGCCTCCGCTCCCTCCGCCACCTCCACCGCCTCCGCCGCCTCCACTACTGCCGCCGCCGCCGCCACCCCCGGCACCACTCCCACCACCACCCCCACTCCCTCCACCGCCTCCTCCACCACCTCCACCGCCCTGTCCAGCCCCTCCAGTGCCCTTGCCCCCCTTGCCCTTGTCGGTGCGGCATCTCCCGCTCAGGGCAGACGCAGCGCCGACCGACTCGAAACCAACGAGGTCGGCCGCAGCAGCAAAGGCAACAGAGGGCAAGAGGGGGGAGGGAGAACACCCCTCAAAGAGGGGGGTGCGAGGGTCACCACGAGAGGCTCCTACAGCGACTATGCTCTTCTCTGTCACTAGGAGGGCCTTCTCGAGGAGATCAACGGTGAGAGTGGTGGGGCAAACAGAGAGGAAGTGGTCCCTGACTACCCGAAGAGAGTCAGGGAGCCGGGTGATTATGTAGTAGAGGGTGATGTACATGGGGGGGGGGGGTTCTTGGCACAGAACTCAGTAGGAAGCGCAGCGCGGTAGCGAGTGTCACTAGTGCGGAGGTGCGTAATGAGGTCAGCGACTGTGGGAAAGGCAGCAAGGTCAGGGAAGAGGTACGGTAGCATGAGGCGGCTCAGTGCTGTAGTGGCAGGGGAAGAGTAGCGTGCAACTGCAGCGTCGTACAAGGTCTGAGCACTCTTGTACTGGCTAATGTGTGCATGCTCAGTGGTCGGCAAGTGGCGACGCACAGCAAGGCGAGCAGGAGCGTCACGTGTGGCCCACTTGTCAGAATCCCAACCACTAGACCATTGGGATAAAAGGGCTTGTTTAAGTAGCGGGTCAGTGTGCCCATAACCCCCCAGGCGAACGCGCCAGTAACCCTCTCCAGGATCAATCGGGCATCCACAGTGCAGATCTACTGACACCCCCCCACACTGGGAGGCCCAGGACTAAGCACAGCGGCAACGGCCTACATGTGCATACACCGGGAATCGAACCCGAGACCGCTCTGATACCATGTCAAAATCCCAACCACTAGACCATTGGGATAAAAGGGCTTATTTCAGTAGCGGGTCTGTGCGCCCATAACCCCCCAGGCAAACGCGCCTGTACCCCCCCCTAGGATCGATCGGGGATCTCACAGTGCAGATCTACTGACACCACTGTGAGCGAACAGTGGCGTCAGCATCAGCAGCAGGGGCAGGGGAGGCACCAGAAGTGAGGTCAAACAGGGAGAGGCCGTCTGCCCTATCGCACTGCAGGAAAAGCTGCAGATCATCTACCTAGACCTCAAAGTCCATTGCCCGACCCTCAGCGTCAAAGGTGAGAACGCTAGGGGAAGCCATAACAGCAGTAGGCAGGGCAGTGTAGTGGCAGAGAGTGTGCTCTTACCAGGTAGGTGGGGCGATCGGGCTGCTTGGCGGCTCGGCTGTCGGGCGGCTCGGCTGCAAGGCGGCTCGGCTGCTGGGCGGCTCGGCTGCTGGGCGGCTCGGCTTCTGAGCGGCTTGGCTGCAGGGCGGCTCGGCTACACGTTGCTGGGCGGCTCGGCTGTCGAGCGGCTTGGCTGCTGGGCGGCTCGGCTGCCGGGCGGCTCGGTTGCTGGGCGGCTCGGGCGGACGGGCGGCTCGGCTGGCCGGCGGTTCGGCTGCTCGGCGCTGCGGGCGCTGGGAGGCGGGGTCGCAGGTGGTGGCGAGGTCGAAGGTGGCGGCGGGGCCTAAGGTGGAGGCGGGCCGCAAGGGTGGGCGGGGCCGCGGTGGCGACGGGGCCGAAGCGGGGCCGTAGCGGGGCCGTAGCGGGGCCGAAGGGCTCGAAGCGGGGCCTAAGTGGGGCCGTAGCGGGGCCGACAGGGCCGTAGTGGGGCCTAAGTGGGGCCGACGGGGCCGTAGCGGGGCCGTAGCGGGGCCTAAGCGGGGCCGACGGGGCCGAAGCGGGGCCGTAGCGGGGCCGATGGGGCCTAGGCGGGGCCGTAAGCGGCCTAAGCGAGGCCGTAGAGGGCGGCTCGAGGGGCAGTAAGGGCGGCCAACAGGGGCCACTAAGGCGGCTCGAGGCGCTACTCGGGTTAGGAGCTAAGCGCGCTCCGGGCAGGGAAGAAAAAAAAAGTTCGTGGTGGGCCCTAGGCAGTATTCCCACTCGGGAACCTGCTCGATACCATGAAAAGAAGTGAGAATGGAATGAATGAACTATGAAACAGTTGGGTACAAGTACTAACCCTAATTGGGTTGTAGCCCTTGTGGGCTACCCCACTACAGCCTACACAAATGTATAAGCTATAATATTCTGACAATTTTCGCGGGTCCGGAGCCATAGACAAATTCCGGGAAGAACTCGAGAGGAAGCAGACAATTAAAGAAGTGGTAGCGGTGCCTACGGAGCTGGGGAAAAAATTAAGGAGTGTGGAAAGGAGTAGACCTTTTCACGGCGTCAACATCCTCTCCCAGAACCAGCCCAAGACGACTCTCCACTCCCCAGGGAAGAAGTCTATGGAGCTGAAGCAGCTGAAGAGGCAGCTGGGAGTTCAAAAGAAGCTGCAGAAACTCCGAAAACCCCTCCAGGATGCATCCAGTGGATCGCAGGCGTCGACCGGATCCACCCCCTCAGGGTCAACCTGTACGGTTACTACCTCTACTCCTGGCGTTGGAGAGGAGCTTTTCTCCACGCAGCCCAGGCCAACTGGTTGTCCAGGAGCAAACAGTGGAACCACGGTGTGTACTGAATATTGGGATGTACCCTATGATCCTATTAATGAGACTATTTTTGGGTACTCCGAGCAACGCTCACCACTCCTGCTCGAGGTGATCTGCAACGGACAGCGCCTCCAAGCACTCGTGGACAGCGGGACGTCGCACAGCGTCTATGACAAAAAGGCAATCGATCGACTCGGAGGTGACATCAAGTCCTCAAGCTTCTCTGCAACGATGGTGGATGGCAGTAAGCTACCTATCTACGGGGAAACACGGTTACTACTCCAGATTGGACCCCTTCGATGGAAGCCTGCTCTTCCCGTCACAAATATCAAAGGACTCGACGTAATCTTCGGGAGAGACTTTCTTAAAAAGTTCAACCCCGAGATCAACTGGGTTAACCGGACGGCCAACATCAACAACAGCGGGAGGAAAATCAGCCTTCCCAAATGGGACGACACGGGAAATATTCCAGTCGGGACACTCGCACGCTTTGAAAAGGACGTCAAACGGACCACGGCGGGATTCATGGCGATAGTCAACGAAGAAGACAACGGAGAGAAGCAGACCCAGGAACTTCCTCCAGTAGTCAAGAAAATTCTTGAAGAGTTCCAGGACGTTCTCCCCGACGATTTACCTGATCAACTACCGCCATACCGAACACATCAACACGAGATCGTAGAAGAGCCGGGGTCCAAGCCAACGTTCCGAGCACCATACCGGCTGAGCCCGATAGAGCTTGCCGATATGAAAAAACAAATAGAGTATCTCCTGGAGAAAGGGCTCATTCGACCTTCGACTTCGCCGTACGGAGCTCTTGTTCTCTTCACTCCGAAGCGAGACGGAAGTCTGCGAATGTGCATCGACTACCGAGCCTTGAACAAGCAGACTGTAAAAAATAAATACCCGATACCACGGATCGACGACTTACTCGATCAACTCCGCGGTGCTACGGTATTCTCCAAGCTCGACCTCAGATCGGGATACTGGCAAATTCGTATGGCGGACAACTCTATCTACAAAACCGCCTTTCGAACTCGGTATGGGTCATACGAGTATCTCGTGTTGCCATTCGGACTCACTAACGCACCAGCCACATTTCAGGCGGAAATGAACCACATCCTTCGGCCCCTTCTGGACGAGTGCATGGTGGTATATTTGGACGATATCCTGATCTACTCGAAAGACATGAAGAAGCACGTTGAGCATCTGCGACGCGTGTTTGAAATTCTTCGACGAGAACGCTTCTACGTGAAACTATCCAAGAGCGAGTTTGCGTTGAAAAAAGTCCAGTTCCTTGGACATATGGTGAGCGCTCAAGGAGTTCACGTGGATCCTAAGAAGATCGAAGCAGTGCGAACGTGGAAGACCCCTGAGAACGTGAAGGAGTTACAACAGTTCCTTGGATTCGCCAACTACTACAACCGGTTCGTACCGAACTACGCCAAGATTGCCGCACCATTAACGAACCTGTTGAAGAAGAATACACCATATCAATGGGAGGCGAAGCACCAGGAAGCCGTGGAACAACTTAAAACCGCACTCACGTCCGCACCTGTCCTTATCCTGCCAGACCCTGAACTTGACTATGTCATCGAGGCCGATGCGAGCGATCAAGCAGTGGGCGCAGTACTCATGCAGGATCAAGGGAAGGGACTGCAACCCATTGCATACCTCAGTAAAACACTTCACGGGGCAGAACTCAATTACCCCATCCATGACAACGAGACCCTCGCCATCGTCAACGCATTTAAGGCATGGAGGTGTTATCTCAAAGGAAGAAAAGCGACCGTCTACACCGACCACTACAGCCTCAAGTATCTGAAGACCCAACCAACACTCTCCAGGCGGCAGGTCCGGTGGATTGACTTTCTCGAAACCCACTTCCATTACGACATCGTGTATAAGCCGGGGCACAAGAACAAGGCAGACGCACTGAGTCGCCCTGCACACGTTGCCGCCCTACAAGTCGATGGCATGAACCCACTTTTGAAGGGACTCTTCACGCATGGATACACCATCGACCCCGAAGTCTCTATAGCAGAAAAGCGCCATCTTCTGCATTGGGATCAAGACATCGCATACCACAAGGGATCCACAAAAATATGGGTACGTAATTACCCTCCTTTACGCCAGTTACTGCTCGAAGAATATCATGATGTTCTCTACGCGGACCACTTCGGTAGTAACATGACGCTTGCCGGTATTGCGAAGCATTATTATTGGCCCCACATGGCGGATGACGTACAAAAATTTGTCACCTCGTGCGACACATGCCAACGGATGAAGAGCAGCAAACAGAAGAAAGCAGGGTTACTACAGCCTCTTCCAGTCCCTGAACAGCCTTGGCAAGTGGTTAGCCTCGACTTCATCACCGAGCTACCACCTACCAAAGCTGGTTACGACGCCATTCTAGTCGTCATCGACAAATTCTCCAAAATGGGACACTTCATTCCGACACACACAACGGCTCGCATCGAGGAGACAGTGCAATTATTCTTCCGCTACGTCATCTCGCAACATGGCATTCCAACCACGCTGATCTCCGACAGAGACCCAACATTCACGAGTAAATTCTGGAAGGAGCTCATCTCGCTCGTGGGGACCAAACTCGCCATGTCATTAGCCTATCATCCCCAAACGGATGGTCAGACAGAGCGCCTCAACCAGATTGTCGAACAGCTTCTGGGAGCAGCGTGTAAGGACGATATCTCTAAATGGGATGCACACCTGCCGGTTCTCGAGCTTGCGTATAACAACGCCACGCACGCCGCAATAGGGCAAACTCCTTTCTTCCTCTGTTACGGTCGC